CTCTTGAGAGTCCATGGTGGCTTATGTGAGTGACTGGTCCAAGTATTGTGGCTGAGGGTAGATTTGAATCCCAGTCTAATGCAGGATTATTATTTTTTTTAACTGATTAAGATCTTTATGAGGCAGCAATTCGCTCATTCTAACAGGGTAAACTAGCAGGCTCATACAGAAACTTCAAGGAGAAAGAGGTGAATCTCCTGACTTTTCCTTAAAACAAAATGCCCTTTCAGATGTCCAGGTGTGTTGTCCAGATGATAACAATTTGAGCTTGCATATGTTAGAAGTGGGTTTAAATTATTGAGCAAATCTTATAGATCACTGTGTTTTATTGAACCATAGTTTACTGAAGAATTGCATGACAGAGTACTAAGCCTTAACATCCTGGGTTTCAAACCACAATGTTGGGTTCATATATTTTGTTAAGTCTAAAGGAAACAAACCCTATTACAACATAGTATGTGGTGTGATACCGTCTTCCACAACCTCGCACTCTCCAGATGTGTTGCTGTAGCTTTCGTAGCAAATGAGAATTACGGAAGTTGTAAACCATGTCTGCAATGCATCAGGTTCAGGGGACTGGTTATAAAATGTGCTGCCTATCTGTGCGGATATTTGTTGCTTCTGGTTGCATTTTCTCTCAACAACTTAAGGCAGTCCATGTGTCACTTTGCCCCAGCAATGACCTTGAGGTAGGTTAGGCTGAGTGGCTGACTGACTCTGTGGTTGAGCACAACTGAACCTTGGTCTCTTTGGTCCAAATGTGGCCAATGACTATAATATGCATTAATTGGCATGCTATGTATGTTTGATGCTTCTTTTGCAGGGCTGTCGTAATGAATTGCACACATACTCATACTGTGAGACTGCACCCCCCAGCTAAACCTTTTTTTTCCCCATCACAAACAAGCAGTATCATAATATCAGTTAGCCTTAATATCTTTATTCTTCCATGTAAGCTTCGAGCAAAGGTTATTGGTGCTACTGAACCTTGGCAACCTTCCTTTTTCAAGTGCAGGCTACCCTTTACCCATGTGTAATTAATAAAATATATTGTCTTTGTGTTTTTCCATCTGGTGATCTTTTATTACAGGTCTTTTTGTCTTATCCAAGGCACAATCGCCCTTCAGAATGTTAAGTAGGAATTCAGCAAGGCAGTTTAGAAGGAGGAGAAATCCATCTGTGTGTTTATCTAGAGCTCTTGCTATGTTGCACTGGAGATGTGGGAAAGGATGAGTATCTTCTGGGTGGCTGTGATGTCCCCAGTCGTAAGTCAGCTGTTTAAAGTTGCATTGGAAGACAATTGACCAAAAATCTCCACTTAATTCCCACTTTTTCTTTTTGAAAAATCTGGTACAGGCATGGCAAAATTGTCATTGTTCCAATCCCATTCTCTGTTGGACCTCTAAAATATGGGAAAGATCACAGAAACATGGTCATGAATCCTAAGGGCTTGAAAATAGAGAAGAACAGAGGCCCACTGTCAGCAAAGCAAAGCTGAGAAACGCCTGCCTGGCTCTAGGCTTACCAGCTGTGCCCCGGCAATGTTCTTGTTACTGGGAAGATACTCTCTTAAATAAGCTGGACTGGCATTTTCACCCTTCCTTTTCTACTCCTTTTCTCACCCCTGCATCAGGTCGTCTTCAAGTCAGGTCCTGCATCCAAGACTTCCTCCATCATTTGTTTGCTGTGCTAGCCACATTCTGTACTGTAGACTCAGCACAATAGCATCACCGCTTCCATGTGGCAGGAGAGGCCTGTAATCAATCCTTTTGTCTTGTTTATGGAGTCACTCCCTGCTTGGAATAGCCCTGCCTGAAGTCCCTAACTCTGCTGGTAATACAGTGTTAACCAGTTGCAACAGCATTTATTACTTAGGGTTCAGTTTCTCAATGCCTTGAAGAATTTATTCCACGTCAGGCGTTGCTTTTTGTATTTCTGCCTATTGCCTGCTTGGGGTTCTCTGCCCCAGAAAATTTCATCTTGCACCAGAGCAGCCTAGACAAGAATATTCCACCGTGGGGTGGGGGCATGTGTAGCCTAGGCTTGCATCTTCTACAGTTGGGGATGGGAAAAATGAATTTGGGGAACTATTTGTTCAATTCAGGTGTGGATTGGTGCCCTTGCTTCTCCCCCCCCCCTCACATTTCAAGGTCAGCTTCTGCCTGAAGTTCTTTAGAGATGTGCTGTGGATTGTTAGGGACAGGTTTGGAAACAAACTTTGATGCGAGTCTTTCATGTGGCTTGCCAATAAGGGACTGAGTGTGTGATTTATGTAACCTACAGCAAGCTTGTCTTTGTTATTTTATGACTTTTCAAATATCCTTTTCCAGCCCAGTGCTGTCCGGGTGTATTAGACTGCCCCTCCTGGGCTAACTAGGAGTGGTGAGAATTAAAGCCCAAAATATACAGAAGGTTGGATTCAGAAAGTTTGCAGTAGTGTAGTTTTAATCAGGATGTAACCTAGCTGCATTTGAGCAGAATAATTGAAAAGAACACACAGAAACTACTGATGTTTAAAAATATGTGTTTTAAATATACTTGTCAATGGGTGACTCTTCGTTGTGGGGCTTTTAAAGCTCTTGTGCTGGGGTGGCCTATGGATCACAACAGCTTGGTTGTCTCTTTCTCCCCCAGTCGGGTTCCTGATGGAGTCCTGGGCCTGCTGAACTCTCCTGAACCATCTGCTCAGGGAGTAGTGCTGTGGGTTTTCCACATCCTCTCAGCTTTTGCATCTAAGCAAATGAGCTCTGGGTTTTTCTTTACATTTGTGGATTCCTATAATAGCAACCTCTCTGCCTGTTTTCTTGTTTAGCTCACACTCATCTTGTGTAGCATACAAGGGTTTGGCTGCCCTCTGGGTGACAGAAATCATCTCCCCAGCCTTGGGCATACAGTGGTGTAGAGCAGTGTTTTTCAGGTGGACTTCAACTCCCAGAATTCCCCAGCCAGCATGGCTGGCTGGGGAGTTCTGGGAGTTGAAGTCCACGCATCTTCAAGTTGCCAAGGTTGAGAAGTTCTTGTATAGAAAAAAGGGTGGTTAACCACCCTTTTTTCTATACAAGAACTTCTCAACCTTGGCAACTTGAAGATGCGTGGACTTCAACTCCCAGAATTCCCCAGCCAGCATGGCTGGCTGGGGAGTTCTGGGAGTTGAAGTCCACGCATCTTCAAGTTGCCAAGGTTGAGAAGTTCTGGTATAGAAAAAAGTGTGATTAACCACCTTGTTGGTAAGTTGGCGTGGGCTTTGAACCTTCGGACTAAGGCAGCCCCTGGATGGAAGGGCAGCCCTTTACAGCTCCTTGATCGAAAAGTCTGCCCTATCAATTTTCACCAAGTCTTAGTTTGACAGCCATGTTGGAGGGGAATGATAGAGTTGCAGGCCAACACATTAGGCTGAGGAAGCGGCTTTAAAGCCTCTCTTTCCTGCTTTGGATCAAGTCAGCAACTCGCGTCTCATCTCATCTTTGGATTTATCTTACCACCGGTGTTTGAATATCTGTTCCTTCTCCAGCCAAGTGCTTTGATGACATGCCTTCTGATATCTCAGAGGCATCAGCTCGCCCTAATGCAGGGCCTTTGCAGTTCCCCATAATTGCATAGCATCACTCTCAGGGCTGGGGAGAGATCAGCTGCCGACCTAGGCACCAGGATCAAGGCTGCGACAACAGCCTAGTGTGAAATTTAAATGGCAGCTCCAATGCCAGTCTTGGATCCAGGTGCCAGTGGAAGGATCCACCAGGACCAGGCATATGGAATGGTTTGTTGGAGCTCTGCGGCTGCCCAGCCATGCTGTGTGGAAGCAGGGGAAGATCTCTCCAGTTGTGGGCTTCCTCTTGCAGAAGGTAGACTTGGGCACCTATTTCTAGCAAGCCAAGGCTTGGCAAGATCAGCTGAGGCTAAAGATCGGGGATAGTGGATTAAGCTTGTTCCTTCTTTTGTTGGTATTACACCCAGAAACAGTCTGACAACAGCGATACACTTGGTTACCTGCGTCCTTTGCCAAGGGAGAGGTTCAGGAGGGTCTTCCCAACCTGGTGCGCTCCAATGGCATTGGAAAAGCAACGTCCAGAAGTTCAGGCATCCTAGCCAATGGCTGGCTGGGGAGCTCTGGGAGGGCCTCAGGTTGGAAAGGATTGGCATACACAGTCACTATGTGGCAAGGTTGCTTCCGAATGTGGTCTGAGAGTAACTCTGTTTGTGCTTCCTGCATTGAGTAACACATAAGTGAAATCAGCCCTCAGTTCTGTGTGCTTTCAGGTGGTTCCTGTTCCTTGGGCATGGAGGGGGAGGGAACCCTATTTCTTTCTCTTGGAAGATCTAATAGGTTGGATATCCTATTTGGATGGTCCCCATGGAGATTCACAGCCTTCTGCTAGGAATTCTGAGAAAAGTTGTCTGATACTCTTAGGCAGGCAGGCCCTATGCAGCGCAAGAAGACATCTCGCAGGACTCCTAGCTGAAGGTTGGGAATCCCAGGAGCTATAGTCCCAGCCCTTCCAGAAAGTACCAGGTGAACAGACGCTGCAAAGCTCTCTCCAGATGTCGTGGACAACAAGGCCCAACATTCCCAGCCCAATTGGCCAGCCATTGGGGTGTATTAAGAGTGCATCCCCATATCTGGAAGGCATTGGGTTGGGGAAGACGGGGGATTCGCTAATGAAGCCCTGATAATTCCATTTGCTGGAGGGATTACTTAAGCCCCCATAAATGTTGGTAAGCACCTTCTTCACTTTGGCTGATATTTTGGAGTGGAGCATGGGATTCTGGCCACGGCTTTTTCCAGTGACTGCTTACAGTCCTCTCTTCGTGTGCTGGATAGTTTCTTGAAAGGCGTCCAGCCTTACGTGCCGGTAGCTCAACCCCAAATAGTCTTTTCAGTGGACTTCTGGAGGTTGAGCAGAGCGGTGCAGTTGTGGGAGCTGATAAAAACTGTTCCCTGTAACATCTGGAAGTGCAGAGAAAGCGCTGCAGCCCCAATCCTTCCCTTGAGGCTGCAGAGCATGGCAAAATTGGAATGGCTTAATGGGTGGTGCAGCCAGGCTGACCCCGGAAGCAGCAAGAGGACTCTTCCCAAGCAGGTCCCCTCCAGATATGCAGGACTTCACTTCCCATTGTCTCTAGCCACCATACTGGAGGAGCTGCACTTGCTGAAGATGATGGAACTTGCAGTCCAATGCATTTGGTTAGCGCCAAGTTGGGGAAGCCAACAAGTATGCGTGAGGTTTGGTAGACTACTTAAGAAAATGTTTCCCTTCGATCCTGAAGCTGCATTCACACATTCAATGGAGTATGTGTGGGCTAACCCTAACTCTAGCAGAGTGAAATGCACCTGATGGTTCCATCCCTTACGCCTGCCCAAACCTCACCTGTTGAGACCGTCCCACCTCCTGTTTGAATGCAAGCAGAATCTCTCCAGGAAGATCCTGAAAAGGCAGGATTTACGATCCCGAGTGGTACATTAATTTTTTCCAAGCCCCCTTGCTCAATCCAGAGAGGTCTGGGCCAAAGGAACCATCTGAGAGATGTGGTGAGGTGTATCAGTGTCTGAAGTCCCATCTTGCTACTTACTTTGAATGTCCAGGCATTCTTGCAACCAGCCTTAAATATCTCTGGGGAAGAGAGCAAGTGTTATGTGACTTGCAGAGGTTACATAATATATTTGTGGAAAGTTCCTGTTCAAGGGAAGAAGCTTTTAAGCTTTTCTAGTAAAGGAGAATGTTATCCACCCAAATCAGCTGCAAGATATGGAGTGCTTTTTTATGGCTCTGTCTCCAAAGTTCAGCCGTGTTGTTGATTGTAGAAGAGCCTTCCTACCGACAGATAAACCTCTGGGCCAAGCATAGGCAATGTGGTTGGCAGTTCCCCTCCCACCCCCGCACCTCCATCATGGCAGACATGCAGATAGGCAACTAGTTCCCATCCCCAGTGATTTCCAGAGAGCACCCACAACCAGCTCCCAGATATAGGTCAAGAACCCAAAACGTCACCCCCACCACCACCATCCTGTGCTGAGCTTCCCATATTTCTACAAGTAAGACAAACAAACGATGCCTTTTGTGCTTGATGACTGGTTTTAGGTACCTCCTGGAGCAAGATTTTCCTGGCATGCGGATCGGGCCTGAGCCTACCACAGATTCCTTCATTGCGGTGATGCAGGGTGAGGTGGAAGGCATAATTCCTGGGAATGCCCTGGTTGTGGATCCCAAAAAGCCCTTCCGGAAACTGAACGCCTTCGGGAACGCCTTCTTGAACAGGTCAGTCTGCTGCTGTTGGCTTCCAAACTTGTTTGACTGGAGAGATTGGTTTTGCAGGTCTGGGTCAGGTAGAATCAGGGCACGGTCTGTTCTCCAGCAGAACAGCTTGACCTTCTGGGCTGTTAATCACTTTTTCAGCTTCAAAAACACTACCTTTAACCAAGGTAAGGCAAGGGCCATTTCAAATGTACGACTGGGCAGCTCTGTGCCACATCCCTTGGCCAAAAACGGGCTGGATCCCAACATCCCAGCTCGCAAGAATTGACTTATTTATTTATTTAACAAATTTGTACGGCTGCTCGCCTAGCCAGAGGAACCCTGATGCTGTACAATGGATGCTGCTGTGTGCCACAAAGGCTGGAAGGGTCCCTGGGAACAACTTGCTTGAGAAAGCATTTTCTGCAAGGGAGAGGAAACATGTATTTAAAGAGGAGGCCGGTCAGATTGGTCAAAAGAGCAACTTTGAACCCAGTGTGTCTTGCTGAAAACTAACATCAATGAAGCTGAGGACAAGCCTTTTCTGGGGGGGGGGGTCACTGTTCCCCCTCTCTGTCCTTGACTCAGTCTCGGCTAGAAGCCACAACGGGCAGGTTGTGACCCCAAACTCCAGGCACATGTCCTGAAGAGGAATTCTTTGGCAGGGGAGGGTCCTGGGTGTTTTCCAGCTCCTCAGCAGGGCCCAAATGCTCTTGGGTTACACAGGATTCTAGTGGTGAGCAGCGTTCTTCGATATGCATGTTCCTGCTTGTTAGACAGGATAACAAAGAAGGAAAGAATAATAGCGTTTGGACAGAATTAGGAGCCACAGCATGTAGCTATAACTTGAAGCTCTTGCTGCAACACCCATTTTTCCTTCCCTTCCCCTCTACACGTGCCCAGCCACCTACCCATTTCAGTCCCTCTTTTGAGGCCTCAAAGCAGTCCTCGAGTGGACAATGCCAACCTTTTGAGGCTGTTTTAGAGAAGGCCAATTTCCTAGTTTAGGGGATTTATGATGCAAAGTTAAGGATGGGCTAATATTCTTGGTCCTGCGCCTTCCAGAGAGAGCAGATGCAGCTTTACTTGGGTTCTTCAGTCCAACATCAGCTTCATTCAGCGCCTACAAGCTCTTTGTTCTGATTCATTAATATCAGGCCAGCCTGCCTAAACTGGAGACTCTTGTTATGCTGGTCTATGACCGTAAAAAAGATTTGATTTGATCTGGACACTCTGCCAGCTGCACAGGACTCTTTATGTCCTCATCCCCAGCCAGCCAGCGGGCTTTGACCCCTAGCTTTTACTTTTAAGCAGAGACTAGGGGTGTGTGGAGCATTTCATTTTGAAACATTTTGAGTGTGAAATGTTGTGAAATGTCTCGTTTTGAGTGCAAAGCTGCTTCCTAGAGTTACCTCGGTCCCACAGATGAACTTAACTTTGTACTTAAAGGAAGTACAAAAGGCCTCATTTTGCATCCCAAGCAGTAGTTTTCTGCTCATTGTGGGTGCTGGGTGAAATTTTGTGTTTGAAATGATTTGAAATACAACACGTGGCACACCTCTGGTGAAAACGAGCTGTGAGGGCATTGGAAAACAGGAGGAGTTGCTCTTTTCATTCGCATTTTTTTAAAATGAAGGAATTAGAAACATTAAGCCAAATTAGAAGTGGAGTCCTTGGGGTTCTCTGAGCTTGGTCGCTTTCTTGCAGACGTTTCGTTACCCGGCTAGGTCACATCCTCAGAGTACAAATTAGAAGCAGCCTCCGGCTGTAGACCTCTCCTGGTTTCCTCCTTTCTGATGGGGACATTTTGACAGGCAGAGGCTGCCTAGCAACATTCTTTTTTCAGCCCTTCTGGTATGTGAGCTATTGTGTTTGCAACAACAACTGTCCTGTGGGGCAGCCCCTAAAAAAAATCTTGGCTGCCCATTTATTGCAGAGAAAGCCTCAGCTGTGACAGTCAGCTGTGTCCTCCTCAGCTGAAGACGCCTAACTGGGACTCTGGTTTCTACTTTTTTGTCCAAGCTGTCTTTTGAGGAGCTGAACTCTGGTCTGTGAAACTCCTTTCTGACAACCTGTAGTGCATTTCCAGCTGTTGGCTTCTTTCAGAATAATTTCACTCTGGACCCTGCTGTTTTTTTAGATGGTAATATGCATTCTGGAGGCCCCAGCTGATTTCGGTCCCAGAGGTCTCCTTCGATGGCACTGCAACGTACCTTTAACACTCCTGGGTGTGTCGAGTTGGTGCCATTTTCAGGCAGGTCAGAGAAAACTCTGCGGTGTCTGTGTTTTCCTGGCTGAATCTGCCCCAACTATTCTGGCATTTAATTAGCCCACCGCTGTTCCTCAGATGCGAGCGAGCTGAGATGACGGAGGTTGGGTTCCTGCAGTGAATGCTTAAGAGAAAGAAAAACAAAAGCCATTTCTAGAGGAATCTAAATTAGCAACAAGTACAGTACTTATTTCCACACCACAACATTTAATCATTGGAAGAGGGACTGGAAACTTGTTAACAAGTTCTCTGCATAAAGCCTATATTTAATTCGTTTGGACAGCATTAAACCATCATTTTCTTTTCCAAACGTTTGCAATTCTGGCCCCCAAATAAGGGGATAGAAGGCAGCTGGCTCCTGGTAAGAGCCATGTCTAGATTTACCTGGGCGAGGCAAACTGCTGTTTTTCCCAACATAATTCTTGTGAGACCTATTAAAACTACAGCCTCCAGTGTCTGTGAAATCAAAAAGGATGTGAAAGCAATAAACACGATTCCATCTTTAGGATAGAAATAAAATTGCTTCACGTTAGGTTTTGTACTTCCCAATGCTGGGTTTTGAGTTCAGGATTAGTCTACCCTGTTTGAATTGGGGTCTTGAGGGAAGTCTAATATGAAATGTCTAATTTCCAAGCCTTTTTGCCCAGTTTGTAATATCCTTCAAGATGGAGGATTAAATACCACCGGAGATCAGGATGACAGTCAACCATTTTGCATTAAAATACAACATACAGCAGTGTTTCGCAGCCTCGGCCACTTTAAGATGTGTGGACTTCAACTCGGTGCTGGCTGGGGAATTCTGGGAGTTGAAGTCCCTGTCTCTTAAAGTGGCTGAGGTTCAGAAGCACCGCCATAGAGAATCATGAAAAGAATGTAAGGGGCATGAACCATTCATACCCTAGAAGTGAGCCATGTTCTTTCTCCCCTCCCCCCCATATTATTTAATGCTTTTTCCTTGTATTTTTTTTCCCCCCAGATTTGTATGTGCTCAGCTGCCAAATGCGGTCCTGGACAGCATCAGTGTGATTGACACGCCAGGGATCCTGTCTGGGGAGAAACAAAGGATTAGTCGAGGTGATGTAAAATGGAGTGACTTCTAACTGGAACACATCTCCTGTGAAGTTGGCTCAGGTCTTGTTTCTAGAACAGTGTTTCTCAACCATGTCAACTTTAAGATGGGTTAGGGTTAGGGTTTAACTTTAAGATGGGTGGACTTCAACTCCCAGAATCCCCCAG